TGCGCAGCATGTTTGCGCCGTAGGAGAAGAATATCAGGAAGACAGCCATGAAGTGATGCATCACCTGCTCCCCGAAGTCCTGCGGGGGACGGTGGGGTGGGTCACCGCGGGGACGCATCCGGGTGGGGGCGGGGTGGGGAGCCCACTCTGGGCCCGGGGACAGGGCCTTAGGGGTCAACGTGGCCCCGGGACCCCAGCCCTCGTGCGAGGGACACCAGGAGGCTCGCAGTGTGTGGAGACCGAGCGCCCAGGGGGTCCTCTTCCCGGCCTGCTCTTGGCTGAGCCTCACCTTGCGCTTGATGTCGAAGGGCAGCGAGAGGAGCAGCAAGCTGTAGAAACTCAGCTCCGTGAGGTACCACCAGGACAGGGTCGGTTTCACGTGCTGTGGCGGGTTGGGGCAAGATCAGCTGTGGGTGATGGGGTCTCCTCCTGGCCGGGCAGGGGCATGGCTCAAGACTCCCCCTTGCTCCAAACCAGCACCCTTCCAGCCCAGTGAGTGTGGGAAGGGGTGAGCTCCCTGTCACTGGAGGTAATCAAGGGCAGTTGTTTTATAGCAGCGATGGAGGAGCAAAAAAGAGTCAAAGAGTGGCACTCAGAGGGGAACTTTGAGTGTGATGCTCAGGTTTGGCTCTTGCACCTGTGTCCACCCCCTACTATTCACCTGCACTGGGTAATTTCTCCAGCACTCTGCCACATCCCACAGCCACGGCTCCTGCAGAGGAACAAGGACTTCAAGCTTCTGAAAGCCAGAAGCCAGTGCCCGCCCGGTCTGGGGACTCCGGGGGTCCCAGAGTCCTCCGAGCACAGCTTCCATACTCACAGGGTATAGGATCAAGGTGCCGCTGATGGAGGTGCAGAGGTAGAAAAGAAACCTCCAGCTGTCAAGGGAGGAAGGAACGCCGGGTCGCAGCTGCCCGAGGAGCAGACAGCCCCGCTCTGGTCCCAGCCCCGGGGATTACCTGGTCTCACAGAACTTCTTGTCTATGCGGGGCAGATCCTGGTTCCGGCGTTTACGGAACCAGTGTTGAGTCTGTCGCAGTGTGAGGCCACACTGGGCAGCCAGGAGGACCATTTGGGCCTGGGGAGGGCGGCGAGGGGGTGGGGGGGGATAGGGTCTCAGAGGCCCGGTGGTGGCTTCCTGCCCCCTGTCCCTGGGAAGGGAGCTCCCCTGCAGCCCCAAGTAGGGGCAGGACCTGAACTCGGAGCCTTAGGAGGACCACGCCTTGTTCACTGATGGAGACAGGGATTAAGGAGGCCAGGGAGTGGCACCCCCAGGCTTTCCCTCGCCCCGCTAGTCTCTGCTGATGCCCGGGGCTGGGGGGGGCCTCGCCTCCCAGGGAAGCTTTGGGTCATGGTGGCGCGTGGGGGGAGGGGACCAGAGGCCACACCGGCTGCCCCCAGCCCCCAGCAAGCGGGGCACGTGCCACCCATCTCCAGGGCTCCATTCTGGTCGTGCCGCCTGAGGGGGGCTCTCACCTCCTGCGGGTTCCGTCCTTTCTGGAGGAAATATTTCTCCAGCGTCGGGTTGGACTGCACCGGCTTCCTGACTGGTTCCCGCATACCCAGCCAGTGGCACAGGGGCATGCCTATGAATCTGCGTCAGGGGACACAGTCGTCTGAGACCGGGAGACAAGGGACATGGCTGCACAGAGAGGGGCGTCGGAGTGCATGCTCTGGCTGGGGAAACCGAGGCTTCCAGGGGCCAAGTTATGGAGCCGCCGAGGCAGGTGTGACAAGTAAAGCGTTGTGGTGCCCAAGGAAACCCCTCCTGGTGCAGGAGCGGGCTGAGGTCGCTAGTCGAGGCAGGGGACAGTCACCTGTTTGGGGGGTTTTTTTTGGTACCCGGGATGGAACTCGGGACCTTGCACTTGCGAGGCAGGGGGTGGAACCACTGAGCTAAATCCCCGGCCCGACCTTCACCTGTTGAAGGCGAGGCGTGTTGTCCACAGCATCAGTGTCAGGGGCACCGTGAATAGTAAGTCCCGGGGATGGGCCACGACTATGCCGTCCAGGTCTTCCATGTCCGCCCATGTCTTGCCTGGCGGCAGCCAGATGCTTTCTTGCCACACTAAGTCACTCAGGGCCTTCAGCATCCTGCAGACACAGGGGACCAAGTGGGTCTCACCGAGAGCAGGACTTAGGGAGCCGCAGGACACAGGCCCCTCTACCCCACAGCTCCCCTGAGAGAGAGTTGCCAGAGAGGCACGGCGGGGGGGAGGAGCTGCTCCTGTTGCCATGGGAGCTGCTTTCTGGCTTCCTCAGGGTGGCACTGGGCCACCTCCTGTGTCCCACATCGCCTGCCAAGGAGTGTTATGGCCAGTGCTAAGGACAGAGAGAGGCTGTGTGTCCTCAATCAAATGACCTCACCTCTCTCAAACTCCAATTCATTCATAAAACAGGGACCGCCACACCTACTTCTCACCCCAGCCTGCCAATTACATGAAGTGCTTAGTCTTTTTTTTTTTTTTGCAGTACCGGGGATTGAACTCAGGACCTTGTGCTCGCAAGACAAGCGCAGCACCACTGAGCTACATCCCCAGCACAGAAGGACTTAGTCTACTGACCCTTAACAAGAATAACGAGAGTAGCAACTAGAGGCAATGGGGAAGGGGACATTATTGGGACCTCTGCCGTGGGGCCCGGCCCGCAGACCACTACAGCGAGAGCTGATTGAAGAACAGACAGGCCTGAGCGTTGGGATTTAGCAGGGTGTGCTGCGAAGGCATCTAGTGAAATACGGCTGCACACCTCGGGTGATGGCGCCAGGCAGGGCTGTCAGGGAGTCTGCACTGCTGATCTTGCTGAGACAGAACCAACCAGCCCTGGGGCCGGGTGCAATTAGGAAGTGACCCATCCGGTCAGTGAGAAGCCATCATTCAGGGAAAAGGTTTTAACTGGGGTCACACTGACCTCAGCCGCACGTAACTCAGCAGGGCCCTGCCACATCACAGACCAAGGCTTAGGCCTCAGTGACAGCCAGTAGCAAAGGAGCAGTGTTAGCCCAACTCTGCTGCCTGACATGCGCATTGGTCTGACTCCCGATATAAAACAGTACAGCCGGATTAAGGGGGGAAGAGCAGAGGCCACTCGTAGCCCACTAGTACTGGGCGGGGACGTCTGCTACACGCAAAAGCACAACTCATAGCAACAGCTGTTATCCTGTCCTTTTCAGATGCCAAAAGAGTGACCAGAAGGCAGAGGAGAGGCCACTTGGGGCGAGGAACTCTGTGTGTGCGCACGTTGAGTGTGTGGTACTGGGGATTGAATTTACGGTCTTTGCACTGAGCTACATTCCCTGTCCTTTTTAAATTTTGAGGCAGGGCTGGGGATTTAGCTCAGTGGTGCCGCTGCCTGCCTTGCGAGCCCAAGGACCCGAGTTCGATTCCCGGTACCACCCTCCAATTTTTTTTTTTTTGAGACAATCTTGAGGAGTTGCTCAGGGTGTCCCAGCCCGGTTCAGCATTGGGATTACAGGTGACGCCCACCCCCGCCGTGTCGGGCTGGAGCCGTGAACTTGAGTTCTCGAATGTTCGAGTTTTCCTTCCCATGAAGGAAGCCCAAAGGTGAGAGGTTGGTCTCCCAGGCTGTTTTTAGAAGCATGGACACTCCTTTAGGCATGGAAGTAGGCGGTCTGCCTTATTCTCCTAAGTGCTGGCCGTGGCTTGGTAGGAGCTGACTGCACGTCCAAGCTCCTAGGGATAGAGCGACGGTCAAGGTGGACCAGCGTTCTGGCAACAGCAGGCTGGGGAGCAGCTCCGGCAGGCAGTGCCCAGCTCGCTTTAATGAGCTCAGAAAGTTCCTAATCCTTGAGGCCTTCAGCCAAGAGCCCGGTTACCACTCACCCACCGGTACAGTCTGCCCATCAATCTGTGTCCTCCCACCCATCCACCCATCCGTCTGTCCATCCATCCATCCGTCTGTCCATCCACCCATCCGTCTGTCCATCCATCCATCCGTCTGTCCATCCATCCATCCGTCTGTCCATCCATCCATCCGTCTGCCCATCCATTTCTCTATCTGTCCGTCCCCGCGTCCAGGCAACAAGTGTTCTCAGATGGACTCGACTGTAGGTGCCAGGGTAGGCCTTGGCGCTAGGGTCACGGCCGGGGCACAGAAGGCAGCCAATAGATGTGTGAACAGATGCCTCAGTAAGCGAGCTGCCCAGTGAGATGCGGCCTGGCAGGAAACAGAGTGGTGTGATTTTAAATGTGGTCGAGGAGGCCCTTTCTGAAAAGAAGTTATCCATGCTGAGGCCCAAGGTCTCACTCTGTGTAGTCCAGGCTGGCTCTGAACTCACTATGTAACCCAGGTTGGCCTCGAACTCCTGGTGATCCTCCTGCCTCAGCCTCCTGAGTGTTGGGATTACAGTTGTGCACCACCACGCCTGGCTCACAGTGCCCCCTTCTGGCCCTTTTCAAAGGTGGCTTACTACTCCCAGGGTGACTAACGGGACCATTTCCATCTCTCCTATAACAAAACAAAGATCAGAGTAAAATGTGATCTCCCATCTCCAGGTCGCTGATTAGCAACCTTAATTCACCTTCAACCTCCATGCTTTTAGTGCTCAAATGTACAGGGTTTACTCTAAGGAGCAGAGAGCCTGGGGAAACTTATTTTCAGGGTAAGAGTTGGGCTAAGCATTGCCCAAGGCAAGCAGGGGGACAGGAAGTACTGAGGGCTTGGGCCCTGGGCAGGGTGTGGGTATTGGCTTACTGGTACAGCGCCTCCTTGCTATATTAGTTTTCTGTTGTATCACTTGGCATACACAACTTAAAGGAAGAAGGATTTATTTTGGTTTGTGGTTTTAGAGGGTTCAGTCCCTGGTTGGCTGCTGGTTCCAAGGCAGAAACATCAAGGCAGAGGAGAGCTGCTCACCTCTTGCGGACCAGAAGCAGAGAGAGCAGAATTGGAACCAGAGTGACAAATTAAACTATAATACACAGAGATAATGTTAATATCTTTGTGTAAAACCACAGGGCTTGCCAGGCATGGTGGCGCACGCCTGTAATCCCAGCACTTGGGAGGCTGAGGCAGGATGATCGCTGTGAGTTCGAAACCAGCCTGGGCTACAAAGTGAGTTCCAGGTCAGTCTCAACTATATAGTGAGACCCTGTCTCAAAAAAATATATAAATAAATAAATGAATAAATAAAATAAAACAACAGGGCTTAAGGTTTTAAACTGTTCTTAGTAAAATTTACAACTGAACTTTAAAAATGAGGTTTTAAAATTTGTCAGGATAATTTTGTGTGTTGTCTAGTATCTTGTTTGGATTACATGTTTTTTTTTTAAAGATGAAATGTTTTAAAAATTAAGTTTTATTATTGACTTCTTGAGATAGGGTCTCACTATGTAGCCCAGGCAGGCCTGGAACTCAGCAATCTTCCTGCCTCAGCCTCCTGAGTGGTGGGATCACGGGCTTGTGACAGATTTGCTTTATTCTTATTGGCTTGTTTTATGTTTCCTTCGAAACTTGATAACTGTCAAGAGTTCTCATGTTTTAGGGGGCTGACCACAAAATAAACAGGTTTAGATTTTTTTTCTTAAATTCTTTAGGCTTGGATTTGACAATGAACTCCAGATAAAATCAGCCCAAAAGCCACTCTTGCTCAATCTCTGTTATTACTCGAATTTGACACAAAGGGCACAGGACAGGGACTGCAATCATCTGTCAGATCTCCAGTGTGGGACATGTTCCTGCTGCTCATCATCAGAAGAATCTGTACCATGGAGGGAAAGGCTAAGGATTACTTGCTTGACAACTGTATGCTCAGCAACAGAGGGGAAAACTTGTAAACATCAGAGTCACCTCAGTGTTGAACCCACCAACACAAACAGAACTACAGTGGTTATAAGAAAGGGTTTTCCAGGGGTGGTGGGCTGGCGCACACCTGTCACCCCAGCCCCTGATCATGTGAGCCTAAGCGGCTGGTAACACCAGCATTCTGGGAGGCTGAGGCAGGAGGATCCCGAGTTCAAGCCCAGCCCCGGCAACTTGGCATTTAGCAGAGCCTGTCTCACAATGGCAAGGGGAGTGCTGGCTCTTCTCCGGGATCAGGGGAGGCTCCAGGCGCACTGCCCAGCCAGCCTCACTGGCTGTGCTGTGTTCCCTTACAGCCACGCTTCCTCTCCCAGGTGAGGCTGACCCCCCAGGCCCCCTCAGCCTTTGTTGCCCTGGCACCCGGACCCTCCCTGAGCCTGGCTCCTCTAGCGGGATCCCAGCCCCCACCCCCATAATCCTTCTTAGCTGCTAAGAAAAGCCCTGGGTGAAGGAAAGCGAGCAGGGTTTTGTGCAGATTTGGGGCCGGGTGGGATGAGCCCAGGATTCCTTCGCTCCCAGGAAGGTCTGAGAGAGAGTTCAGGCCCGGCCCACCCCGCTCCCCTGAACCCCCATCCGATGGCCGGGCGGGGTGGGGGGGAGCTGCGCACAGAGATGTGTTTGTTTTACAGTGACTGGAAGCCCAGTTGGGAGAAAGGAAATAATTCAGGCGCCACCCAACCCCCACACACTCAGCCTGACCCGCTGCCCCAGTCGGTCCAGCAGTAACACAAGATCCAGAACTGCAGGGGCTTATTTCTAAACAACCACAGCCACCCCCCCCCCGCCCTGGCCCTGGCCCTGGCCCTGGCTGTCCCTTCCAGACAGCTCTGACCTGGAGCAGGGCCCCTGCGGAGAGCTAATCACTAGAGATGCAACCAGTTCTCAATACTATGGGTGCTGCTTCCTGGGAGAGATGCCAGGAGAACCGAGTGTGGGCCTCTGCCTTGCAGAGAGGAACACTCCTCCACACTCCAGCCTTGTCTGCATTGCCTTCCACCCACCTGGCTCATTCACAGCAAGGGCTGATTGCTGTGCCTCCAACTCAACTACTGCATTCCTGCCCCAGGACCTTTGCACATGTTACTCAACTTAAAAGGTTCATGTTGTTTACCATCAAAGTGACCCCCATACCATAGATGCTGAGCAATTTTCCAAATGTTTGAGTGGAACAAATTCCCCAGTCTACACACCTAGGTTTGTCTCAGCATCCTTGTTTTAGTTCAAACACTGCTTCCTCAGAAAGTCTTTGTGAAATGCTGGCCAAGGGGCAAAGG